AGTCACATATGAGCGAAGTTTTCGTAGCCCAGACATCTCTCTACGGAAGTGGATATGAGTACCAGGGCGGAAGATACCCAAGATCTTCCTCTATAAGCAGGAGCCGGCTGCCGCCATTCACCTTCATGTACACCAAAATATGAAGTCATCTCCAGTCGCGGCCTGAGTGGAGAACGCCTTTGGAATTCACGTGGCCTCCAAACAGCTGCGGAACTTCTTGAATGGAATCACCCATGGATAGCTACCTGGAGACCAGTACTCTTGATCTGCAAGACCCCAAACATCGAGCAGCTCCGGCAACGTCGCTACGGTCCAGGACATCATCTTCACCCCATTCACCAAGGCGCGGGTTGATGGTGTGGACCGGCCGTACCTGGAATGGGAAGACCGATATTTTCTTTGTAGACCCCGACTGAAGGTGAGCGCTGGCGGTTACATCAAGTAACTCGAGAAGGATATCCTCCCTACATGTGGTCGCCCGTACCTTCTTGGAGACCTTGTGCTGCTACAGGTTTGGGTGCCACCACATGGAATCGAAGGGTTTTGGAAAAACTCCCGCCTACTTCGAATGGAAGGGCGTTTCGTACCTGATGAAGATGTAATATTGAAATATGTCCCCTGACCTGAACCCACTCAATTACCTAGTTCGGGCGGAGCTCAACAGGGTGGTCTACAGTGGCGGAGAAATCAACGATCTCGCTCAACTCCGGTACCCACTCACTTTCGCGCGGCCGAATCTCTCGATGGCGCTCCTCCAGAAGGCTGTGGCGGAGTATCATTATAGTATTTAATGTGCTCTTTAATATGGTAGTAAAAATGTCCGATAAAAATTTAATAAAGTGTAACTTATAGCGCCTTGAAAGTCATGGAGGCAAAATGACTTTTTTTTGCCCCCCCCCTGTATAGGCCACATCGCATTCAATAAGCCACTACGATTCTGAATGGAAGTAGAATGCGTGCCGCATCCCACAAAGGGATTGATCAACGGCGAAGACTTTATCCTTTTTATCCTTTTACCAACACTATTATATCGATTGACGGGAGTGTTTACAGACATTTGGAAGATCATTTTTCTCGCAGAAGAGAGGAGTATCACACGGTAAGATAAAATCCTGCGCATGTATCCTCGAAATACCCGAGATCGGTAGGATGGCTGCGCACTCGATTTTAAAATGGCGGCGGCCAGGTTTTCGTGAGATATTGCCACCTTGGAACAGTCGTAATCATGTCTACATCTAAAACAGAACAAGGGGGCAGTTGTTTCGAATTGAAGTATCCCACGAGAAACCTGTCCTATGCCATGCTCAAAAGCCACGCCTACTCTGTCTCAGGGGTAAGGATGTACACAGGTCATTGTAAGGGCTATTACGAGCCTGATTTTGAGATTGTCGGTGCACCTCGAAAGAAAACGAAAATAAAAAAATCATGTGAATGATGAAATTTTTTTCTCAATCTCGATCTGACTGGTGGAGAATTCTTGCTTCTTTAAGATAACGCGCTTAGTTTTTTTGAATTTTCAGTTTTTGTTAAATTCTGGGCATTAAATCTGACAGTGAAGGTGTCAGAAATGAGCGGTCTTGACACCAGCTTTTTCGCTTGATCGAGATACTGAAGCAGCAGAAGCAGTTCGAAAGTCTGTAAGATGTATGGACAAGGAAAACTGCCTCTCAGGACGGCTTACTCCTCTTCCCAACCAAGTCAATGCTTAAGTCGGCTTAGGTTGGGTTTTTACCTCATAAACATCCATGGCACCGGGCATCTACACAGGTATGGAGAGGAATGGTCATATGCTCATACCTATGTGCCAATCGTTTCGAACCTTTCCGATCAGTAGTGGTGAAGCTCAATGTTTGCCGAAAAGCAACATTGAAAGGTGCGGCCTCTGCGCAACGCCAGCATCCTTCCATTGTACTGAATCTGTGTGTAACGTCTACATCGGGAGTTGGGAGAGGGACTTCCGCCCTATTCCCGTCCCGGCTCCCTTCTCCAATACCATGGGACTGCCTTTTCAATTTCGCAGCCACGCCTCCTATGTCCTTGGATGTGTACTGTACCCCTAAGAGTCCTTTGCAAAGTTCATTATACAATCAAAAATTGTTACTGAAGAAAAACGAATGCGATGGCATCTAAGAGCAGTGCAAGCTACGTCGTTATACTATGTTCGATTAAATATATAGAAACTGATAAAGGTTGACTGCCATGTCTGACCAATTTTTCCAGATGATAAAATGCACTAAAAATCTCATTCCAAGCGACTGAGATTGTTGGAATCATAATAATTCCCATAATAGATGACATTTAAAAGTAAATGGAATGGTAGGGTAGACAGTCTAACGTCCTCCAGTCTGCGGCTCGTCCACATACGAATTGCTTGCTACTGAGAATAGCGAAATCACACCTGAAACATTTACTTGTCACTGATAACAACGCCTTATTATGACAAATATATGATTCAGTCTACGCTTCTATCCAGGAGAGAATTCACGGTAACCACGGCCACTTTCATATTTATGAATATTTTTCAGCGGAGAGGTACCCTACACTTTCATAAACGTGTTTTGCTGAAAGGCACGAGAAATCCTCAACATCTGTAGGACTGATACATCCAGCAAGGCAGGCACCTGAGCCTTTTTCAGAGATAAATTATTGTAAAAAAGATACCCTTATGGCGCGCTATTGAGCTACAACATACCGAACCTGACGCTCACTGCACCCGCCCGCCCACAAATGTCCGACCGATGCTGGTGCTCGTTTCGCTTCATTCGCCAAGTACGATATGAAGCGAAGGAGTTGATATGAACGGGCTGCGGTGCTACATGGATATGAGTGAGTACATGTACCGTACAAGAACCGTATGTACCTTAGCGATTACAGACACTATGCCAGCAGGAAACTCGTCCAAACTTGCTTCCTGAGTCTTGTAGAAAGAAGGCTTTCAGTGCAGGTTTTTGGCCGTTTCACTTCACTTTTTCGGCATTTTTTTCACAATATAGCAACTACCACCATTTTGGAACGAGTACCAAATTATGGCACCTAAGGCTCGATAATTATTTTTTCGAATCATTCATGATTCCCCGAGGTCTTCATGCTCAGCCGGATTTTCTTGAGAATCTTACGGTCAAAGATGCGAGTCGTCTGAAAATCATGATGGTGGACCTGAGGGTTTGTGAGGGCACCACAACTTGATCGCGTGCTAGGTTAAGAGTCTTAAGGAAAAAATGTGCATGAAGTACTCTATTGACTGTCATGAGAAGCATCATGATGTCTGGAACATTGGTCCACGTTTCTGTTCTGAAGGCTTACAAAGGTTGTGGGCATAATCCAAAGAATTCATGCCTGAAGGTCAAAATCACGTTGGTCCTGCGAGCAAAATAATTTTGGTTTTACCTTATTTCTGGAGGCCATGTATGAGTAGCGCATTAGTGTCGAGAGCGCAATATGGCTAGACAAATGCGATCCAAGTGCCCGTACAACAGGAGTAAAATGAACCTTTGAAAGCAGGAAAAAATAGACTTGCAGATGCGGAAGAGTATCGCTAATTGAGTGGACAGGGGAGGGGGGTCTCGGTGGATAAGGTAAGGTTCCATAAGCTAACTCCTTCAATTTCTGCAGCCACCCTTTTATGCTATGTGGGCGCTCGTTCTCGCAAAAGTGGTAAGGTCCCTGTCTTTTACCTAATACCGTGCGCAAGCGTAAAGTTTCTGGATTGTTTCGCTGGTTTTCGTATTATACTCACTGCAGTATCCACTACAGCCAGGAAGATATGATGAACAAAGCTCACCACATAACGCCCGAAAAAGCACCATATAGTTCGACTTCCGGTTGGTTGATGCGAGTTGATTCCCCCTCCCCAACCATTCTGAGGATGATCCAGAACAGTTGATACGAGATTTAGCAAGTTCTCGCTCGCTTTTTCGTAGGACTTTTCAACATTATGGTCTCCTTTGGGTCAACAGTTGCAGGACGTCCGCGACCATCTCCAGCTACAATCCTTCACGAAAAAAATTGAAACCGGTGGCGGACCGGAGATTGTGGGTATGTGCAGGTAGGGTCACGCGCACGACCAGTGCAAGTACTGTCTAGTTATCAACGACGCGCGCTCGCGAGGGTTTTGTTACCGCGATTATGCCATTTCGCTGCTTTTTTTTCAACAGACATTCCGTCGTACCTCAACAGAACTTCAGTACAGTTCGTAAGAATAGTTTTTAAGAGTATGCTGTCCAGAGAGCATTGTAACCGCCACGTGATAAGGGATCAGCGGGTAAGCTAAATTTACTCGCTAGCACAATCTGTGTAGGTTTCTCTGCACCATACTCGCTATGTGATCACTATGCCAATGAAACAGAATTTGAGGGTCATCGCAGTCCAAGTCTTAGCTCAAGAACGAGGCTGAAACTAGAATGAATACAATCTAATTAAACAACGCGGTGAGTTTATCGCTAGCATGCTCCACTGTCGCGCGCGCAACGTCGCGTGGTCCTGAAGACCGTCTACCGGGAATCGGTCCCCATACACTTTGCCGTCTCAGGCCAGAGCAAGTCATTTGTTGTGTACAGCGTCGAAGGGGGTCGCATAATGACCGCTGGCGATGTGGGGTCGTATTCCATCCCAAAAAGCAGTATATGACTTTCCCGTTTGTGTATCTCATACTTCTTCCATTTCTTGGGCAAGATTTTGAGATTTGGTAGGTTCAGTAAAGAAGGTGGACTAAAAATAAGACTTATGAAACAAGTACACTTACTCTGAGGACAGCTGTTAGCGCTCACACATCTTCCGTTAGCATTCCTATAAAAGCCACTGTTGCATGCACAAGCTGGTGGGTCACATATTGCAGGGCACGGGATTGGACCCTGAAAAGTGTTATATTGATCGCAGTCATGTAAACAGAATATTTGGCCAAGGTCCCTAAGGTTATGATGCATTGCCCTTAGGAGGAAACGTACACTTTCCTACTCTTTTAGTCTCGAATTGAACACTATTCTCCAGACGATACAGAGTTGTGCGTTCTGCAAGAAGTCAGAAAATGAACATTCAACGTACCCTTCCTACATTCTCACATTTTCCCTCACAACGATTTCCGCACTGGTTCAACGACTCGTTGGGACCGCACGCTGAAATACTTTTTTGAATGGCTTGAACCAAACGGTTGAATTTCACAGCCCGTTGCAAGGCATAAAGACATCAAAACACGAAATAAAGACAGAATCTTTCGGAAAAACCCACTCTGAGGACAGTTACTGGCGCTCACACATCTCCCTTGAGCGTTCCTATAAAAGCCATCCCTGCATGCACAAGCTGGTGGATCGCATATTAGAGGGCACGGGACGGGGCCCTGAAGTTCGTTAGGTTAGTATAATCATGCGAATAAAGAAAGAATGCTAGGTCGGAAAAATAACGGAAAAAGGAAATAAAGGAACATGAGGATAAAACGTCATGTGAAGAGATTGATCATCTCTTTTTTTCACTTAATCCTTGCATTGTAAGAGTTATCCGCTCATTACTCATTTCTATCTTCGCTAAGCTTTAGGTTATCAGCTTTCTTGTTACCTTTATGTCAGCCTTGTATACCTGAGAAATAATGGCTGATTTGTAACTTGCGTGTGATTGATCTTGCCTTTAAGTCTTTACCTTCAAACAGTAAGCTGTACCATTCGCCCTAAACGTAGCCTCATCAAATGACATTGGCAGACACGCCTCTTGTGCGTTATAGTAGAGTCACCATGTACCGTTACTTCAGAGTTTCTGATCTTTCGTTCCCCTTCCTACTGTAAAGTAATTCTACCGCGAAGACATGAACATACAGGGGAAAAAGTCACTTCGACCGAGTCACATATCAGCAAAGTTTTCGCAGCCCAGAGAGAAGACGTGGATACGAGTACCAGGGCGGAAGATACCCAAGATGTTCCTCGATAAGCAGGAGCTGGCTCTCGCCCATCACCTTCATGTACACCAAAATATGAAGTCATCTCCAGTCGCAGCCTGACTGGAGAAGACCTTTGGAATTCATGTCACCTCCAAACAGCTGCGAAACTTCTAGTATGGAGTCACCCATGGATAGCTACCTGGAGACCAGTACTCTCGATCTGGATGATCTCCAACATCGAGCAGCTCCGACAACGTCGCCACGGTCTAGGACATCATCTTCACCGTCGCCAAGGCGGTTGATGGTATGGACCGGACGTACCTGGAATGGAAAGACCAATATTTTCTTCGTGGACCCCGGACTGAAGGTGAGCGCGGTTACATCGAGCAACTCGTGAAGAATATCCTCCTCACATGTCGTCGCCCGTACCTTCTTGGAAACTTTGTACTGCTACAGCATTGGGTGCCACCACATGGAATCGAAGGGCATTGGAGAAACTCTCGCCTACTTGGAATGGAAGGGATGGAAGGGGGCTGAGTACCCAAAAAGATAGTATATCCAAGTAGGTGATCTGACCTGAATCCCTGAGTTACCCGTTACCCGGTTCGGGCGAAGTTCAATAGGGTAGCTACGATGGCGGAGAAATCGACAATCTTGCTGATCTCAGGCACCACATCGCGGTTCGCGTGATCTCTCGAAACGCGCTCGTCCAGAAGGCTGTGGCGGAGTTTTATTATTTAACCCATTCGCGACCAGGCGCGTTTTTCGAAAACGGCTCGTTCGGACCGGAGCATTTGCGAGCTCTCAGCAAGTGTCCGCCACCAGTGGTGGACACGGTCCCTCGTGACCCCTTACTAAAAATTTTAGCACTGTTCAACTTTCTGCTCCCGAATCTCCTTTTTACTGAACCATCGAGTGCAGGGGTTATTCCTCAGGTCACAAAAATGACATTCGTCTGTCCCCCGATGCCATTTGGCGCCAATGTGCGCTAATTTAGTGCTACAGTCCTTCCCTCGAAAACCCGTGTAAGCTTGCATATTGAGGTGATTTGACATATTGAGGTGGCTCAAAACCTCCTGGTGGCAAAGAGGTTTTGAGCCGAGCGGAAGTGGTACTAGTGTTCAAAGGTCAAACCAACTCAGGAAACGACTGCTAAGCCAAGTCTGTCCACATAGAAAGAAAGTTGGTCGAAAGTTGGCGTGGTTCCGGATGTCTGTGGCAGTAAAGGGTTGACAGTGTATAGTTTTTTCATTGGCGCTATTCGGCGCTGGGATCCGTCTGCACTCGTCGTCGCCTTTTTTCGCTAAAGTCACAGCTGTTCTGCATTTGAGCTCAATTGCGGGGAGGGAGGAAGCCCGATTACAAATAAGACACTGGTTTTTATCTTTGCAGAGCGCTACATGGCATGAGCGCCATGTAGCGCTCTGAAAAGGCTGTAGCTTGGAGGAGGAGTGATTCCCTCCTCCTAAGGCAAGCTCAGCCTCAGCATCGCATTGATAACCCTTGTGCCCTACGCTAACGTTCCTGCTAAAAATGAATGTCATATCAATAATAAGGACAGCGAATAACCCTAGTATCCAAGTTCCCATCAATTTGGGTGGAAAAGGTGATAGCACCAATTGGCGCCCATTGGCGCCAGTTGGCGCTGGGACCTGTAGTGAACGTCATATTCGTGACCAGACCAACAAAAAGCCCTAGTATGTAACTTTTCCTGAAGTTTGGTGGAAAAAGGTAGTGGTGAGTTGGCGCGGCACCATTCTGGCGCCCCGGTTTTGATGAAAAAGTGGTGGCGCCAAACTGGCGCCTAATGGTGCCAAATGGCGTCAAACACCGCCGGCGCCAGAAACGGACGTCACATTCGTGATCGGGGCACTGAGTAACCCCTACCGGCAATTTTTCAGCAGAAATTTTTCTAGAGGTTTTGGGCTCAGGTGCTGCTAGTTGAATCGTGCCTGGGACCCTTATATCTGAAGATCTCGTTGGTCCACTATTTGCATAAATTAACAAAGGTATGAAGACTTGTACCACTGGGAAAAGTTCCTCGAAGAACTCGAACTGTTTCTAAAAATTTCATCAAAAGCCCGTCCGCCACATATGGTGGACATGGTCCGAAGTGGACATTTCGGTGTCCACCACCAGTGGCGGACATTGTCACGAATGGGTTAATATGCTCTTTAAAATGTCCGATTAGAATTTATGAAGCGTAACATATAGCGCCTCGAAAGTCAATGAAGGAAAGTGACTTTTTTTACCCCCCCCCTGTATATAGTTGCTATATACAGGTACATCGGCGCTATTGGGATGACCCAAGAATTGATGGCTTTTGCCGAGGTGGGGACCTCTAAGGCTGCGTTCACGCTCTGCAGCGGCGTCCACCAGCGTCTACCAGCGTCCATTAGCGTTTCGAGCGTCCGGCAGCGTCAGCTACTATGAAACTGTAGATATCAATGCAGCGCCTGCCAGCTTCTATCAGCGTCCACCAGCGGCCAGCAGCACAAGATGGGGAAGAAAGGAAGTCTGGTTCGAAACAAAAGAATGAAACTTAAAACATTCATCGAAATGGAACAAAACAATGTTGGTGAAGTCCTCTAGGGTGACAATGAAAAAGCAGATTCATCAGCGACAGTGGCGCCGCAACACTTCTAGAATAACCTTGTGTCAAACATTCGATGCGTATCTAGCTGATAATGGGCTCCCTAGCTCATCTTGGGTTCACTTAGGTGTAGGTGCACCAATTTTTGCAGCTCAAGTATATGTACGCCACACAATCTTGACGAGAGAAATGCCCAGCCCATTGCCTCACCGCATCCAGCATTCATTTTTGACTACTATGTACTCGATGGTACGGTTTTCCCGTTCGTAGAGCGAAAAAACCTTTTCATTACCTTGTACTCGTACAAGCACGGGTCGGCGACGTCTTCCTGCAGCGTTTTAAAAGCCTTTCTCTCCACTATTGCATCAATCGTCTCTACCTATCTACCTTATTTTCAGTGTTTGTACTCCACTAACCACCGGTTTTAATCATGGAAGAAAAAGTGTAGTGACCCAGATAGGTGGACAATGTACATTTTTTCACTTTGGTCTCGAATAAACTCTATTTCCTAATAGACAGAGTCGTTTGTTCTGCAACAAGTGAGAAACTGCACAACCAACGTACCCTTCCAACATTTTCACATTTTCCCTCACAACGATTTCCGCACTGATTTAACACCTCGTTTTCACCGCATCCTGAAAGCTTTCTCTTAAATTAATTGAAATGGATGGCTAACTTTTACAATGCCTACTGTAAGGCATGTAGACATTAAACATGGGACAAATACAGAATCTTCTAGAAAAACCCACTCTGAGGACAGTTACTGGCGCTCACACATCTCCCTTGAGCGTTCCTATAAAAGCCATTCCTGCATGCACAAGCTGGTGGATCACATATTGCAGGGCAAATGGTAGGACCCTGAAGTTATCGAACTGGAACTACGTCCACAACGGAATAATCTAGGAGTATGGAGCTGTCCCTGAGTCTCATTACTTATCTGAATGTGTAATAACAATGTGAAACTCCAAAAGTTTATTCCAAAAAACTCAAAAGACAGCAAAAGTCTCAAAAGTTTTTTAATATCTTATCTTGCGATATTTCGGTGCGTAGCACCTGATTTTCCGGGATATTTGGGTAAGTGGCTTGGTGGGGGAGGAGTTCGTCCGAGCTGCATTTCTGTAGGTACATTCGAAATCCCTGAGATGAGGTAGGCGTGGCTGCGTACTTCAACTAAACGTCGTGGTGGCTGTGCTCTTGGAAAGACATTTTCATTTTGACCCAAATGTGGTCACGTCTTTTTCCAACAAAGAACAAGATGGCGGTTGTCTGAAATTTAAATATCCCACGAGTAACCAGTTCCGTGCCATGTTCGAATGCCACGCCTACCCCGTCTCAGGGATAAAGAGTATACATATCCAGCGGAAAACAAGCTGAAATTTCAGGCCTGAAGAAGGTGCTACGCACCGAAATATCGCAAGATACGAAATTTTAAAAACTTTTGCTGTCTTTTGGTTTTTTTTGGAATAAACTTTTGGAGTTTCACATTGGAATGATCTAGGTAAAAAAAACCTAGGAAGGAAAGGAAAATGAAAGGAAAGTAGAGAGACAATGGCATGAGGAAGAATGCAGTTTCGCAGCTTTATGGAGTTTCATATCCCACCGACTGACGCTGAAAGGAGTTATTCATTAACTACAAATTCCTAACTGCACCCCACTAGCCAAGACTTTAAATAGCAGGGTGGGCCTTCAATCCATTTGTGGGGACCCCAGCTTGGGGGCGCACCTTGGCATCATTTCCTTTCTTTTTTTTATTAATCAGCGGTAAATAATTCAGTAGCTTAACTAAGTTGTACACACAAATTCTTCGATTCATATACGTATTTTCACAGCTCCGGAATATAAGAGATTGCACAAAAGGGCAATGGACTGAATTGTTTCTTGTTGGCAGCTTCGTTCAGGAAAATAGAACCAGGAACCATTCTCACGGCAATTGGAGGAAAAAGTAAACAAAAAAACCGTTGGAAACGCTCTGAATTAAAGCTTTGTCGGATATGAGCATTACGAGCATTACACATGAGCATACAGCCGGAGAGATTCGGTGGAGACAAAAGAACCAGATCATGGTATGGCTAGAGAGTATATGAAGGATCAAGAATCCGCCGATAGGGTGGTGAAACGATATGGTAAAGGTGGATGTAGCTAATGGAGACGGAGTTGAGTTGTTCGTCCCCAAGCCGTAGCACTCTTATCAAGCAGTCGTTCCCAAGCAGTAGCACTCTTATCAAGCACTTTCAAGTGGTGGAATCGGAAGATGCACTGCCACTTTATGCGAAAACGTGCTTTTTTACTTTGGCTAAAAGGCGGACGCTCCCACTGAAGCAGCGTTGAGACTCGTTGAGACTTCGCAGTGACGCGCGTCAACGCGCTGCAGCTATAATAGCGCTCCAGAGATATCGACAGGTCACAGACGGGTAAAGATCAGCCCCGCTGCTAGTGTTTTGAGAGGGTGTGGGATTATAGGAAGGCAGGAGTGCCCATTTACGGTCTGGTACTACCAGCGCAGCCCATCACTGTTTTGGAAGAGTATCGAAGAATAGGATACAAGCCAGACTAGGTAGTGTCTACCTTCCTGTTAGCCTAAACTCTCTCAAAACAGGAGCAGCCTGCGCCGATCGATACCCAATTATGGCTGCCTTCTCCTCAACAGCACTACTGCAACAGTATCGCTTGGTAGCGCAATTCACAAAGACTGAACGCTTTTTAATGCAGAACTTCGAAATTTTTACAATTTCGAATAATTGAAGCATTCACTGCAGCGCAGGAAATATAGTGGTTGGAGCAATAACCATGCGAAACAAGGATGGTAATGTGAGCTAGAAAGTTCTAAAATAAACGTGCCTGTCCAAGATTCTCGCACTTTGCTTCGCAGCGATTACCACACTGGTTCAACGTTTCGTTGGCGCTGCATCCTGAAAGTTCCTTTTCATTCACAGCCAAACGAAGAATTTCACTTCCGCTATTGTAGACGTAACTAGTTCCCCTTTGAATATTCGAATATTTATTTATGTAGCCAAAACTACAGCAAAGGAACCATACGGCCTAATGGCAGCCAGTCCACGTATTCAAATGGAACGGTTCACTTGCGCTGAACGGCTCGAGTAGACGAGAGTGCAAGTCAGACTCTTACTAAGAAAGGTCATCTGAGCACGCAATGGCAACATGCTCATACAACGTTTGTTCATGAAAGCCTCTGCTTGCGAGCAATCGAGCGTATCGATGGTGTAATGGAGATGGCCCCCTCTAAAGAAGATAAGTCTTTACCAAACATAGTAGTGGAGAGCTTTCTAGAAGCAATTAACCATTTACGAAGTTGAGATTTATTAAGTGAAGGTAACAGACGCAAGCGACATTTAGAAGAGAAAAAGTGCATATAGTATGGGAGTCGTAACTCCGTCCAGAGAAGCACCACTCAGAAGAAGCAAGCAGGATCGAGATCACCGGGTTGAAGTGATGGTAGCTGAGTTCTGGATGGGAGCTTCACCTCGAAATCAAGTAGGGGAAGCATGTAGTGAATTGTGTTGTTTTCTGATCAGTAACGAACAATATCGTATGGATGAGGACCGTGGAAGAGGTCTTTGGAATGCACACCCGGCGATCATTGAAGGTACGGTCCGCCATCAGGTATAGAAGTTGAAAATAGGGCGTTGGTAGAGTATGGTCCGGGACGAACAATCCTGTACGGTTTTGTGGTAAAAAATTGTAAGGGAGGGACACTACATCGCAAATTAGGGTCAGTGACTCCGCCTTTAGAATCCGCCTTTTAGGTCCTCCTTTAAGTGGAGAAACAAAGCTGCAGGACGAGAAAGCATGGAAGTCGTCACTTGCATTGTCGTAGAGCGTATACCGAAATGCTTCAGGGATATGGAGGAATGTATGTAAGTGAGAGTGCCCAAAAACATAAGGATGGTGGATCCTTGCAACAAGGAGAAACGCATAGTCGTCAAAGTAAAAACTTTAAAACAGTGAACCAACTTGAAGGACAGCTTGCGGCATTCACGCATTGCCCGGTAGCATTTCTGTAGAATCCCTCTCTGCAGGCGCAAGCTGGAGGATTACATATCTGGGGACATGGAGCTGGACCCTGAAAGTAATTGAATCATCAGGTTTTCCCATAACTTTTACCCTGGTTTTAGGCAATTTAGTGTATATGAATTTACATTTTTCTGAAAGACATATAGCCAAGATTATAAACAGCAGTAGCATCACTAATACGTGGTCTTTTCCTATGCGATAAAAGTATGTCCCTCATAAGGAAGTTGGCGATTGAAGATTTTGCGTTGGTCGCTTCTGACGAACGTTAGTTATTTTTTTCTTTGTAGACATCGAGCCGTTTTTGCAGTGCGAGAAGGGTTCCATCCAGGAAGCAGGGTACATCGTCTCTGGGGCAATCAAATCACGAGTAGCATTTAGTCGACGGGAGAAGGAGATAGTCAGGGCAACAGTGGGGCGGTACTAGATCGTGATGGATAATGAAGTTGTAGGTCTTCTCAAACCGTTGAGCCCCATCTGCTTGCACGGCCAAACTTCATGTAAGAATTATACCTTTCATTTACCTCAGTGCGGAAGCTAAATGTGCGGTGCCTGAAAAAGATCAGTCCGGTGCCAACAACTACTCGCTCATTCGCTAAAAGGAAATGTGCGCCCTAGAAGCATAATAAAGTTTCCAAAGCAGTCTTGTTGCAATGGCATGGAAGGAATCGAGCTTGACTGACTTACTGACTCAGAATTTTCCTATTGAGAACCATTTTCTGTAAGAAAAGCGTTATTCTTCTTGGAAAGCGGAGATATTCTATTATTCGAGAGGACACAGGACATCCTCGGACATTTGTGAATGTTCTCATTCATCCCGGGTACTTCGAGCAGCCATTCAGGGAAAGGAACGGCCTACAAAACCATTATAAACGTTCGACAGAAAGTAGTGCTTTCAGGACTAATATGCTACCTGACTTCACTCCCTCTGAACACCATCTCTGCGACGTAATGCTGTTCCTGTTTCTTTGCTGGCCTCTCTTGACGAGTCCCACCTCCGCCTGCAGGATGTTTATAAGGAGAATGTTCCCGCTCTGAGCACCGTCTACTCTTACTCCGCCAACATGAAAGATGAGTGTACTATCGAAGGTCACGAAAGGACAGAGCGGCCAACGACTGCGGATTCGGACGTACTACGGACCCATACCAATCCATTTGTGAGTTGTCCGCCGAGCTTGGTGTTAGCCAACCGACGGTGGTCCGTGGATTGAAGTCAATAGGAAAGGTTCAAAAATTTGGCCAATGTGTACCACATGCATTATCACAGAGAGGCATGGATCGGAAGGTCGACACGACACTTCCCTTCTCACCCTCGAACGCACGCACTCGTGGCTGGACAACCTATCACCAGAGATGAAAAGTGGGTACTATACTCCAACATGCGCCGCCGTGCCCAATGGGTAGACAAAGGAGGACAAGCATAAGACGTCCCAAAACCTGACCTGCATGGAAAGAAAGCGATGCTATGCTCTGGTGGAGTGTTTGTGGGGTAGAATAGTAGGAGCTACTGAAAGAAGGTACAACATTGATTGCCGACATCTACGTTGCTCATTCTGAAAGCTCACCTCACGAGCACATGGTGGAAGCAAGTCAAAGTACACTTTCAGCATGACAGTGCCAGACCACATCATTGTAAGTGTGAATTAGCGACGTATGACTGGATTGCCCTTTCCTACCCACCATATTCTCCAGACCTTGCACCCTCAAACTAACATCTATTCTCGAATCTGCAACGCCATTTGGACGGTCAAAAATTCAAAACCCACGACGACGTCGAAAAAGCACTAGATGAATCCTTCAGAGCCCAGCCAACCACGTTCTGGGGGAAGGGCATCTACGATCTACCCACTCCTCGGCAAAAGGCCATAAATAATAATGGATCCTATTTCAAATGAGAAATAACTTCGTTTTTGCGCAGTAATGAATTTTAGGCTCAAAATTTCTTTGACTTTTCGAACAAACTTATAGTTTCCAGTTACTTTTTTTTGTTCCGCAAACAACTGGGTACTGAAGAAATTGTGCTCGTATAGTATAGTTCCGCTGCGGACGGTTGGGCGTGTGCGGCTGCGTTCGGCCTGGTGCCAAACTCGTTCTCCACCAATCGTTGAAGCGGACAAAATTCAATACTGTGTCGTACTCTTCGTATTACTCTTTTTCTAACACTTTTTGTCGCATACGCCTTTAAACAAGACGGCAGAGAAAGGCTCTGAAAATGTGAAGCACTCATACTGGCCACGCTTAACCGTCCGCAGCGAATAGAGTGTACAGGGGGGAGGCAAAAAAGTCACTTTTTTTCATTGACTTTCGAGGCGCTATAAGTTACACTTTATTAAATTCTGATCGGACATTTCTACCACCATATTAAAGAGCATATTAAATACTATCATGACACTCCGCCACAGCCTTCTGGACGAGCGCCATCGAGAGATTCTGGCACGCGACCGCGATGTGGTGCCTGAGATCAGCGAGATAGTCGATTTCTCCGCCACCGTAGACCACCCTATTGAACTCCGCCCGAACCGGGTAATTGAGGGGATTCAGGTCAGGTGACCTACTTGGATATTCCATCTTCTTTAGGTACTCAGCCCCCTTCCATTCCAAGTAGGCGAGAGTTTCTCCAACGCCCGTGGTGGCACCCAATGCTGTAGCAGTACAAAGTTTCCAAGAAGGTACGGGCGACGACATGTGAGGAGGATATTCTTCACGAGTTGCTCGATGTAACCGCCAGCGCTCACCTTCAGTCCGGGGTCCACGAAGAAAATATTGGTCTTTCCATTCCAGGTACGTCCGGTCCATACCATCAACCCGCGCCTTGGCGACTGTGGTGAAGATGATGTCCTAGACCGTGGCGACGTTGTCGGAGCTGCTCGATGTTGGAGGTCATCCAGATCGAGAGTACTGGTCTCCAGGTAGCTATCCATGGGTGACTCCATACTAGAAGTTTCGCAGCTGTTTGGAGGTGACATGAATTCCAAAGGTCTTCTCCAGTCAGGCTGCGACTGGAGATGACTTCATATTTTGGTGTACATGAAGGTGATGGGCGAGAGCCAGCTCCTGCTTATCGAGGAACATCTTGGGTATCTTCCGCCCTGGTACTCGTATCCACGTCTTCTCTCTGGGCAGCGAAAACTTTGCTGATATGTGACTCGGTCGAAATGGCTTTTTTGGCTCCTCCCTGTACAAATCACAATGATGTGCTTTCTCAATATTCGAAGCAAAAACTAGTTGATTCCTGTATTAAAGAGGTCCAGAAATTGTGCTATTTGATGCTGTTTTCCGTTCTACAACTATTCCACTGGTGTGAAAATCACAGTTATCCAGCGAAGGTGTGCTTACGGTCCCAAAAAAAGAACTCGGAAATAATCTGCTCTACTGTGTAATAGTAGCACTGAGCGCGAATCAAAATTCAACACTGTGTAAGGGGGCTATACCTAGAGAGAAGGGAATCGTACTGACACCGCTACTTTACCCTTCCGATGCTATAATCTTCCTGGAGAGGGGCTATGCTGGCGTATTCTGGCTGCATGCGCACTGCTGCGACCAGCTTCTGGAGATGTCCGCGGAGAAACCACTGGGCCTCCTGCGTTGAGTTCTCATGGTGAGCTTTCACATTCGATGTTAGTCGATCTGAAAGACTTCTGCCCATGCTGAGTGAATGCACCATTGGTGGTGATGTTCATTCAGAGCAGGGACAATGTTGATATGGTCGTGCCTGAGGGTCTGCTAAGAATGCATAATATAGCTTCTGGATGCACTTCCAACTCATGGAGTGAGGGGGATTCTATCCACGCTGACTGATCAACAAGGCGAGGTTGGCTTCGCTGGCTCAGCCGCCTAAGAAACAACTACACCAGCACGTCCTAGACTGATTAGTCCGATAGGTCAACTTTCCAATGGTTGCAGATTTGCACGGGCCAACGTAGGTTAATCGGCTACTGAGAGAGGCGTTTAAGCGAGCGAAAAACCCGAAAAGTCAGCCGCAAGTGTGACAATTCGGGTGATGCTTCAGTACCATGCACACTATTCCCCTACCTATTAGGTTGGCGGAGAAAGTTCTGTCACATTTTTTCAAATTAGACTTTCTTTTTACAGAGAGGCGTACAAGATCAAAATTATACAGCAATGTTATTGAGAGATCCTTGCCAGTTTTTGGACAGTTCGTGGATGCCATCGCTTAACAATGCACGCCGGCGCGACGCAAAGTTGGACATCATCTCAACTTTGACTTGGGCTCAAGTCGTGGAGGTTTTCTCGGCTGTATAACGGTTGAATACGGGAGGCGACTAGCAGTCAGAAAGAGCAATGTCTGGACTACACCGGTGCAAGGGGAGAGCCATCCAGCTCTATTGCATGAAGTACGGCTCGAACTTTTTTGACGGGGTGTGCTGCACCAGCACGTTGAAGACGGACTGTGCCGATGGATTTTGCCCTCTGCTTGACGATTCGCTTCAGATCTCGTAGCTGCCTTGCGTACGGATTGACCGAGGAGGCAGCTTCTTCATCCAGTAGTTTCCCGACCCACCGCTATCTAGAGCTGAGTTTACAGGTACTCCCGAACCTCACTTCGTCATTCGAACCGTAGGCTCCCGCTCTGAAGAGCTAGCGTCGTGGAAGATTGTCTGATGACTGTAGACATTGTCCTTGTGCAGCTCCATTATTTCGGCGTCGACAGCTGCCATGCTGGCGCCAGGGTGGTAGAAGAAATAGTTTAAGGAAGCGCTTGAAGGGGTCGGTGCTGAAGGTAGCGGATAACATTCTTGTCCATAATGCAGAATAAGGATGAGCAGGAGCCGAGCCAGTGACACTAATAGAAAGATCAATCCTTAATGTATAAATGCTCACATTACCGGTTAGCCCTCTTCAGGTAATAGGCGAATACTTGGGTTCAAAAAAGTATGACAGAACTTTCCCGCCAACCTAATACAATAAGGAGAAGCAACTACAAATTCACAGCATTTTACAGAACTAACAAAAGATCTGCAAAACGAAATCATGCAGCTTTATTCGCAGCCCATTTTTCTGGAAATTACTATATTTATCACTGCCATTGACAGCTTTGCCCTGCATGAGTTGAAGAAAATGAAAGAAACTTGCCTGGCCAATTCTCTCGCACTTTCCCTCGCAAAGGTTTCCACAAGGACTGAGAGTTTCGTTAACACTGCATTCTGGAAATTTTGTCTTTCTATGATTTCCGTTCTTAATTCAAAAAACAGGGCGAAATTCTACTGAAAGAGGGGTTGTATTTTGCACTTCCGCTGCATCCTCCTGTCATGTCCAGCCATCGAATAGACATTTGTGAAATCTTGCAAAGCCGTCAAGTAACCTTACCAAAGTTTGTAGAAACTTATGAACTCTTGTAATGTAATGAACCCGACAATGGCAGGCAGCGACAGTGCAGAAGCCAAGACCCCTCCTAGCCGAACTGCGAACAAAAAATGGTCTATGCCACATGTTTTTTGGATGAACACGACACTTACGCGGTCCACATTGCGATGCTGTCACACAGCTGTTGTTGGAATTCCTATAGAATCCGTTGGCACAAGCACAAGCGGGAGGAAGGCAAATGGGTGGGCAGGGTATCGGGCGCTGAACAATTTCCCTTTGAAGTCAGAATTTCCTTAGTAGATAATCAACAATCTTACCTTTCCAACGTATTCACATTTTCCCTCGCATATTGCTCCGCATCCATTCAGTACTTCGTTCCTTCCGCATGCTGGAATTTATATCATTCTTCCCTCAGCCTTGAAATTCATGAAAATAAGGCCCAAGAGGCCTACTCCCTGATATATCTTACTCTCAAATGTTTTTATAATTTACAAGCTAGTAACTTTGCCATTTTGCAGTAGAGCGGAAGTCTTCGGCTGGCACTGACGGTCCCGGCAAGAGGTCTCTGACATCAGGAAACGAAGAATCGACCCCCCGATTTGAACGCTGCGCATGTTCGGAAATTTCGAATAATGTCTTACTCACTATGACTCTCCACATCTCAAGCTCCTAGAGGGGGATCTTGCTCCGAAGGGATGGGTGCACACTACGAAAAGTATGCACTGATTTAGTGGTCCACCCACAATGAATTTCGCTCTCCCTGCCTATGTCATGATGGAGGAAAGCAAATCGCATGCTTCAACATCATATTCTCTCCTCCGGGCACTGATCACCGTGGGTTCCAAATGTTTGGGTGTCTGAACTATAACAGCCACCTTATTGTCTAAGGTGGAGAAAATGTTGACGCACGTTCTCTTCATTTCCTTTATCTCAGCTGCTTCCAATATGTATGCTGGCAGTGGCAATTCAAACCTTCGCATTCCGCAGCATCAAACCGTCTCACCACTATTCTGATTTGAGCATTTACAGTACAATTGTTTTGTGAGGATTTGAGCTACCAGAAGTCTCAGGTGCTACGACTCTATACAGAGGCGATAAAATACTTGAAAAAGGCCGGTCGTCGTCAAACACTTTCAAACGGAGGCATTAGCGCTACAGGTGGAACCAGCTATTCCAGATAGAGGCTATGAGTGGAAGAACGAACATCACCCGTGGCGACTACTGAGACTAGAGATGAAAGCAGGTGAGACTTTTCAGATGTAACAAGGAAGACGAATGTTATTCATTTCTATGCCATTGACAACGATTCAAGATGGAATTTGGATGTCGCTCTAATAGTAAGTTGCTGATGCCACCCGAGCACTCTCTGAGACAATGTTCGGCACGCAGGTATGCCTTCCGTCCGCCTGCCCATTCCCTCTCGTCCTACTATCTCCTCTCTCCGGACATGTGTGCAGCCGAGTCAGGAATTTTTGTAAGTTCTGCAGCTAGCGCCGCCGATTCATAGTACGCTCCGCCCAATTTAATTATGTCTGCATCACTTCATGCGCCTACATATTTCCTAACGTTTCTCTCTTTTCCGCTTTAAGGCTTATCTGGAAGCGAGTTACGGATTTTTGAAAGTGGCCTCCTAGCTAAACGCAAGGTCCGCCCACGGTGGGAGGGGTTTAGCATGTGTGTTCCGTACATCGTAGCCCATGCCCTACCCAACGCACCCTTGACCCGTTCCCTCAGTTGCCTCTTAAGGGAGTGTCGAATTTTCGGACACACGAGCAGGCAGATGTGGCCGTTCACGCATGGTAGGATCCTGTTACTCCACCTGAATATCTTTCAACCCGATCCCTGCAACACTGCTTGGTTGAGAAAAACCACAAAATAACAAAGTATGAATCTGGATGTTTAATTTTTTTTCAGATCACAGTCCAGCGAGCTTTTTGGAAGGAAAACTACTTATTAAGGGAATGGGAAGATGGCCAAAAGAGTGTGACGATAACAGAGATTGATTAGGCTAGAATGAGTTGCTCAATCGATGTTCTTGAATGGATTTCTTTTTGACGTCAAACGTGTAGATGTTCTTATACTTCCTTCAATATGACTGCAACTCCAACCACTTCCTGGACTGTCACCTCTTAGCGTGCTGGACCTAACCGTACTTGTCAGACTTTCGGAGACTACTCGCGCTTAGCACTGTATTAAAAGCTTTCCCAGCGACTGGGTTGCATGGGTGAAAGCGTTTTCACGGCGGAAAGAGGCCTTCACCGTTCCCCCTTCTAGTTGCGGGCACTATAAATCATCCATTCCCTTGCTTGTCTGAACTGGCGACCCTAAACCATTCCTTATCTAAAACCTGAAAACTAGACTAGTTAGTGAATAACTTCATTTGTACTCTCTAAGAGCTGACCTGGCGGATTGATGCGCATATCTGTTGCACTGAATGTGTTGGCGACCATTTGTGTGCCTTGCTCCACAGGTGTAACTAAATTTCAACTTCGTTTCATCTTCGAAAAACCTACTCAGATGCCTAAAAGCTCACTTTGGGATAGTTGATTCTTGCACTTCGGTTCCGCATAGCACACCGTGCCCGGATTACATTCTGGTTCACTGTACTCGCATGCTTTTCCCGCAGAGCATGTTTTCTTGTCGCAATTATTGTCTGAAATAGGACGATGAGATTCTATTGGTAAGCAGATTCCTCGATAGACAAACGTGCGAAGTGAGGAAACTGTGGGTGCTACTTGGTCCACTCGTGTAGATTAATGTAAAAAGTAGTTGAAAGGGCCGGAGATAAAAACTATTCTCAGCAGTAGATTTTCAGCCATGTGCGAGTTTGCGATGAAGAATCACTGAGGAAACGGAAGGCGAGGGAGCGACGGAGCAGAGACAACAAATTGTCGAACCGCCGCATCCTTGCTTCAAGCCTCCGGGTATGCCATATGGGCTCATCTTCCACGATTCCTCACTGATTTCTTGACTCAAAGATGGGGACTCAATGATCGGCGTACTGTGACCTCAAAACTAAGATGAAATAGCAGCTCCTACGCTATACCTCGCATTCTATAAACGCCTTTGACGCGCATACCGTAACATTTTTTTGTCAAATTTTCTAAATTTCATGAGCGTTTCTCGCAATATATTTTGACGTTGTAAATTTTATTCTTTTCTTTCGAATCATTTATGAGCCTCTAAGGTGGCATGCTAATCCTTTTGAAGGCATGATCACCTTATTTGGAAGAACCCTACACGATGTTCATTGTCAGTTGAAATTCTTCGCTACCTTGAAGGCAAGGGTACGATAAATCCCCAAAACGTGTGGGATTGAGCGCTGCGTGGCGTCTTTTCCAAGGAGGGGGGTCTTATAGCGCCCTGTGGACCTGCAACATACCGACCGGACGCCCACCGCGCCCCCCGCCCACAAATGGACGACCGTTCCTGACACTCGTGGCAAGATACCATCGGAAAACTCGTCCGAAATTGCTTTTTGAGTCATTAAGAAGCGAAGGGTTTTTCTCGCAGGTTTCTCACCGTTTCCGTTCGGTTTTTCGCCATTTTTCCAACGTAGCACCCACACGGAGGTTTTGTAGTGACAAGTGGCGCGCTTAACCACTCCGCGGCGCCGGGTTCGAATCCCGGGTCGACTCCCGCCCAGGCCAACCAAGCCTTCTACCCTCCGGGGACGGTAAATTGGTACCAGATTCGTCTGGGAGGATAAAACACTGACTTGTACATCGGCTGGCCACCGCAAGTCATTGTATAGGCCACATCGCATTCAATAAGCCACTACGATTCTGAATGGAAGTAGAATGCGTGCCGCATCCCACAAAGGGATTGATCAACGGCGAAGACTTTATCCTTCCATTATCCTTTATAGCACCCACGCTACCGTTTTAGACAGAGCACCAAATTATCGTGCCTCACGCCTATAATGCGGCCAGTTTGCACAGAAATGTTGTGCCTTCTAATAAAAGACGTCAGAATAAGTCTGAATCAAAAACTCGTACATTTCTTATCCAACAAAATCATATTTTAGATATTCACATATTCTTCGAGTTGACTCGCTACCACTTCTCGAAAACATATTCATCAATGATATTAATGTCTCTACCTTAACGCAAGCCATTAAGCTCGCCCCAAACTTTTAGTGAGCTACGGGCAAAGTACACGCTAAGGATATGAATGATGTAATGTGAGGCATAGGAGGAGCAATGCCATGAAAAGACCGCAGACCCAGGTCATTATGCTGAGCGTGTGAGTTGTAGCCATACTCAATGGTCCCATTTTTTCGCTTGTGCGATGTCAAGAGCCCCACTAAAGCCCGTGTAACCTTTGCCAACTTCCTTGCAATTCATTCAGCGATAACGCTTCGGTCCTAAAAACAAATTGATCTCACCTGGATCTTTAGCCATGCATCGTGGGCCTGTAAGGGTCTGAACGCAAACTGTTCCATGCGAGCACAAGTTCCGTGTTATACATGAATCACCATCTTCACCGGGTGGAACTGAAATAAACATTCTGAGAAAAGATAATTATACAATATATACAAAGAAAATTAACTGGAACAGAGCTCAAGGTACTGCACTGGCTAAGACTGGCTGGATACATGACGATTACCAGTTATGATCAACTTTCACTTTACAAGAGGAGCATCTCTGAGTACAGTCTTGTTCTTTGCAAACCTTCCTCTTCATCGATGTTGCCATCCTAGGTCCGTACCAAGCGACTGGAAGGGCTGCTTTTGCTACCCACGCCCCTGTCACACGTTCTATCATTCACAGGGATCATGACTATAACTATGTGCTGTTGCCCACTTCTTCACGCGCGCGTGCTGTCTACCTGACTGAGAACAAAAACACGCATTAGGGACGCACTCAGTGATAACATGACAGAATCCCTTCTATCCACGTAATTCGGTTAGCAATCTCGAAGGTTGTCCCACTTTTAGGGCTAGACAGTTACTGACCATGGGAGCGGCCGGGTCAGTTCGTAGATGCGTTATTCTAAAACGTGCACTACACAAGTGCCAGATATGTTGCGACCCTATGCACTCCTTATCCCTGAGACGGGGTAGGCGTGGCATTCGAACATGGCACAGAACTGGTTACTCGTATGTAATTCAATTTGAGACAACGGCCATCTTGTTCTTTGTTGGACAGAGACCTGTCACATTCGGATTAAAATGAAAATGTCTCTCCAAAAGCATAGCCATCACAACGCTTAGTTGAAGTACGCAGCCACGCCTACCTCATCTCAGGCATTTCGAGTGTATCTATGTATGAACGCAAGGGTGACGCGTTGAGTTCATGATGTGTAG